GGGCAGCCTCTTCTGCCAGCCCCCGGGGCCACGTGCTTATTTTCTCAGGCAGCTGTCCCACCAACCAGCGAGGTCTTGGGCTGTTTGGTGCAAAACATACAAAGTTGGAATTGTTCAGGAATCAGATGTTCCTGTCTAGCGGCGCCACCTTATTCTATGGGACATGGCACTGAGGCCCCAAAGCTTAAAAACCTGTGTCCATTGTCCAGTATCACACTGCTTTCCCAAGCTGAGCAAGAAACAGCAACCCAGCATAGAGGGGGAAACTGCCCTCTCTCCTTTTAAAAATGGCCCAAGGAAAAGTTCCCAGGGACTCTGCCTGCCGCTTGTGACTCATTCCCTTTATGAACTCTATGCTGCTCTGCTTTTTGTGTCATGATGTGTCTTTCAGCACCTTTCCCAACAGTTTGTGGGATTTCTTCAAGTGAGGGTGTGAATCTGCTTGATTTGTTCAGAGTGGGCACTGAGGCCTGAAAGCTCAGGAAGCCCTTTTTTGCACCTTTTTATTTTTATTTTTAAATCCTCACCTGAGGATATTTTTTTCCATTGCTTTTCAGAGAGAGTGGAAGGGAGAGAGAAACATCGACTGGTTGCCTCCTGCAGGGGCCCTACTGGGTCCGGGATCGAGCTTGTAACTGATGTAAGTGCCCTTGGCCGGAATTGAGCTTGGGACCCTTCAGTCTGTGGGCTGACACTAACCACTGAGCAAAACCGGCTAGGGGTTTTTTTTTGGGGGGGGGGCGGTTAGCACCTTTTGTTGCTAGATGGGGACAGATCAGATTGGAAACAACACCCAGAGGTACTGTTTATAGGGAACTTTCTACTTCTCACTTTGGACTGGGAAATGGGTGTTTTTTTGGCAGACCACAGCAAATTCTCCTCTCTTTGAGAGTCTTTAGTTGGGAGAGAGGGGAAGGGGCTTCTGCATCAGAGTATAACTTAGTTTCTGAGGCCAATTGGGAGAAAGCTACCAGTGCCAGGAGCCTAAACCAAGGTCTTCCTTGTCTGGGGTATCCAGTGCGGCAGGCACAGCTCACAGTCCATAACTGGAGAATCCTGGCTTACCTCTGCCTCAGTTAGTTGAGGTGTGAAACCTTCCTCCAAAACATACTTTACCCTACTCCTTTGCCAGGGCAGAGAAGCTTGAACTAATGAGAAAAGGTCATTCTGGTGCCCTTTTGCTCCAGTCTGGAGTGCTGTTTCTCAGTCTTTAAATGTGCATATAAATTACCTGGGAACCTCATTTAAATGCAGATTCTGATTCTGTAGATTCTGGGGTAGAGCCTGAGATTCTGTATTTTTAACTAGCTCCCAGTGATTGCTTTAAATACCACACTGAGCACAATAGTGCCCCCCCTTCCCCACCCGTTTATCCATGGTTTCACTTTTCTTGGTTTTAGTTATCCACGGCCCAAAAAAATTGAGTGGAAAATTCCAGAAATAAACAATTCATGTTTTAAATTGCATATCATTCTGATCATGATGGAATCTTATGGCACCCTTCTCTGTCCCACCTGGGTAGGGAATCATCCCTTTGTCCAGCATATGCATGCTGAATATGCTGTCCACCTGTTAGTGACTTAGGGTTCCATACTATCCATGGTTTCAGGCATCCACTAGGGGTCTAGGGGAGACTACTGTACTCAAGAATTAGTGGAACATGATTTCCCTCACCTTTTCACACCTTGGGGTCTGACAAAAAGTGATGCTTCTATCCAGGTAGGTGTCTTTTGAGGTTGGGTTTGGCATCGGTCTTTAAACCAGAGTCTGAAGAGTCTGCATGGGGGCCCGCACTCCATTTACAGAAGATGTCAGGAGCTGTTGAAATAAGTGTCCAGCAGTTACTCTTGCTGGATATGGCACTGCAGTGTTTGTCCCTGGAGGAAAAGGAGCAGCAGCTGATTTGAGCTTTCTTCATTCCAATGACTTCAGTTTACTTTCCCTGGCCATTTATCACCATCACACACACACACACACACACACACACACACAC